TCGCTAGAGGCATGGGAAGAAGTTTAGATAGTACTGCAAAGACTCGACGTAACTGACGAGAATAGCGTGCGTGAATGCGCCGAGAGGGCGAAAGCGGCGTTCAATGGCAAACTTGACGTTCTCGTTAATGCTGCTAGCTATATGGCGCCATCCCTCCCCATCCCCGAGTCCGGCACAAGCGCTTGGTGGCGGACGATGGTGGTGAAATTGAAGGGAGTGTACCTCATGAGCAAATACTTCGTCCCGCTGCTTCTTGCCACGCCAGAGCCAGAGAGTCTGAGGACCATGGTCAACATCAGCAGTGTGGCGGCACACAATCTTCGCCCGTACGCGTCCGCTTATGGGACATCCAAGCTGGCGGTGTTGAAGCTGACTGAGTTTCTGATGGTGGAGGCAGGAGAAAAGGGGTTCCTTGCGTACTCGGTCCATCCTGGTGCTGTGCTCACTGAGCTGGCCAAGAAGGGCATGCGGTCCACGACACTTATGGGCGTTAGCGACAACAACGAACTAGCTAGCGACACCGTCGCATGGCTCACGAGTGAGCGCCGTGAATGGCTGGCCGGAAGATACATCAGCGCAACATGGGACATGAACGAATTGCTTGCGCGCAAATCCGAGATCGTGAAAGGGGACAAGCTTAAGATTAGGCTAGTAGTATGAAGCAATCGCTATGTCCTAGAACAGCCCCATCCCGTCCATTCAAACATCGTGATGGGCATGCGCTCTTCTCCGTCCTCTACCGTGTTCTAAGCGCTGCAAAGTGCGCGTCCGACAGGTTCACGCCAAAAACAAAATGGGCATCAATCCCCCATCCCGCTGATATCGTAGCTGTCCTAGAAGAGCATCCTTCCTATCCGCACCAGGTCAATGTATGCGATATCTTATAACACCTACCACTTTCGTGCAAATTCGTAGTGGTTTGGGTCAGATATCCTCTAGGTAGTCCGGAAATCGTAGCTGCCGTTTTGGCAGCTCTACCTTCATACGTGCAGCCCATTCTGGCATCAATGCGGACATGAACTGAAAGTCTTTGAACTTGGCGGTATCGGGTGTTGGGATATCATGAGGATTTATCCCTAGGTTGCCGAGACAGATGTTGAGTAAGGAGGAGCGGACTAAGAAAATACATAGGCTGTTATTGTATCTAGCCACCAATTGAGCGTACATCAGATCAATTTTCTCAGTCGCCAACATGTACTGGCTGACATAGAAAGACCAATACTCGGGGCGGACATTCGTGAATTTGTCGACAAACTTTTGATTGGCAACTGCCCCTGTTTCGTCGCATACCACGAAGTCAAGTCTGCCTCGCTTTTTATATGGTACTAAAAACGCTGCCGCACCTTTCTTGCGTGCCATCTGTCGTAACACTGTATTAACCTATTTAAGTAAGCGATGAACTTGTCTCAGATAAAATAGCCAAATTTTCTCCAAGAGAGAGGGAGAATAATAACCTCTTCACTGTTCGTTTTAGGAAAGCTCATGGGCATATTGGAGGGTGGGGCCCAGTCAACTAAGTCTTCAGACCAGCTGCCAACACGAAGCGCTGTCTCATGCAGATTGCCGCCTTTCAACTTTTCATCTGGTGGATAGGTACCGTCTTTCAAAGTCCAGTCCCTGGCTATCTTTCTCCAAAACCAATCCCTGACTGTATTAGGGAGGGAATGGTTGGGGTGACGTTTTTGGTACGCGGCCTCCATGTACTTCTCACATTTGTCCAATTGTTCGGAACTTAGCGAGTCTAGTCCTATCCCGAGGGCTATCCCGTGGGCCATCTCGTGGGCCATCCCGTGGGCTATATCGTAGGCCATTTCTTGGGTAGTCGGCAGACCCATCTCGGGCTGTCCTGGGTCGTTACTTTCCACTTGACTCCTGGCCATTCCAATATTCGGGGTTATGTCTAGATGAAAAGTGGGCTGGGAAGACGATTAGGAGGCAAGGAGAGCTGCTGATAATCACGATTTGGCGTACAGTATATCGAGGCGAATAATATCGTGATGTTACTGTAAATAGCTTCTGCATCGTGATGTTCCGAAAATAGTTAGGACGAGAGAGAGGGCTGCTATGATAAATGCTGGAGTGCAGTAGGAAATGTTTGAGGGATTGTCAGCTGCGATGTCAATTAGATAGCTGCTGCTTGAATTATATCAGAATCTAGCAGGTGCAAAGACGGGTCCTGCCAACAAGATGGAAAATATGCACTCAGGGTTTCCCAAATTTAATTTCTCATGCCTGCACAAGGCAGCACGTCATTTATGCTGCGATGGAAGACTCGGAAGAGAATGGAAGTTGCAGTAGGAAAAGCCATATTCTACAAAATACCTTAGGAAGTTATTAAAAATTCAGGGGTAATTGAAAGTAGCGCAAAAGCACATCCTAGACACGACCGAATACATTGCTCATGAAAAAAAAGTCCAGAATCAAGTCTCCGTAATTAGAAGCGGGCGAACCATCCTCGAGCTTCATGAGTTTCTCCTTCTCTACCTAGTTGAACTATGTCGATTGTTCAGTGCCTGTATCAGCAGGCTATGAACGTACCATTGTAAACACTAATACAGCCTCATAGCTTCCGGCGTAGCAGCAAATGCCTGTTCTAATATCTCCAGGCCCTCCCGTACCTGCTCTTTAGTGATCGTGATCGGGGGCGCTATCCTAAGGATGCCACTAAAGCTCCCGTGGCTACTCAGATTGGCCCAGACTCCCATATCGTACGCACGCTCGGCTACAGAACTGGCTAATTCCTGTGCTGGCACTTTCGTCTCTCGATCGGCCACGATCTCGACGCCGGCCATAAGACCCCTTCCGCGCACGTCTCCGATGCATCCGTACCGGGACTGCAAGACCCTAAGTCCTTCGTGCAGGAGTTTGCCCATCGCTCTGGAATGGTCCACCAAGTTATCGCGGACCACGATTTCCAAGACCTTGTCGCCCACGGCCGCAGGTAAGGGATCATTCACCTGCCAATCTCCGTCAGCAATAACCAAGTGGAGTAGGAATGTTAGCAGAGAACCACTCACGTGAGTCGTGTAGAAGCAGTAGTCTCTCTCCACGCAAATCTTCTCGATCTCAGCACTGGTAACAACAGCGCTCAACGGGAGGCCGTTTCCAAGCGTCTTGCTTAACGTCAGGATATCCGGGATAACGTCCTCGTGCATGATCGCCATCAAGTCGCCGCACCGTCCGACACCCGTCTGAGCTTCGTCGACGATCAGGAGCATGCCCCTTTTCTCACAGTGCTTCTTTAGGGCCTTTAGGTACCCGGGAGGGAGGATGTGTGTGCCGGCGGATGACTGGATGCACTCTACTATAACAGCAGCGAGTGAGCCGCAGGAAGCTTGGTCAATCAAGCTCCAGCCGTAGTCCAGCTCTGTCTCCCAATCATACGAGCCATCTGGTTTGCGGAAGATGGATCGGTATGCGTTAGGGGCGGGCAGCATATGCATCCCGGGCATGAGGGGTCCCTGTCCCTTCCGTCCGTAATGGTACTGAACACTTAGCGACTGTGCAGTGACTCCATGCCAGGAACCGTTCACTGCTACGATTTCGAACTTGCCGGTATACACATTTGCAAGTTTAATGGCAGCTTCGTTCGACTCGCCCTGGGACAAATGATCAGTATCAGGTATAAGAGCGGGTCCGATCTGGGCAGCCAAAAATAGGGGGGTTGCATACCCCTGTAGACAGAAAGAAAGCCTTATCCAACCCGGCCGGAAGCAGCGAGCACAGCCTCTCCCCTAGAGATATCACCGGGGGTGATACCATACCAGAGAAGAGATGATCGAGGTTTTCCGCGTGGTCGGCTATGGTCTTCACGATCTCGGGGTGCCCGTGTCCTAGCAAGCAAGACATTTGACCCGATGTCCAGTCGAGGACTTTGTGTCCATTTGCCGTGTACACATACAGGCCCTTGGAGCCGCAGATGACATCTTTGATGAATTTGGTGCCGTAGTTGAAGAGGTATTGCGATGTTTTCTTTTGGAGAGCGTCTTGGTCTACGTCTTTGTATAGGTTTGGTCGAATGTCCGCTGATTTTGTTAAAGGGCCGAAGCGGCTGTTGATGGCCTCGTTGACGATAGTTCCAGGGGCCATATTCGTTAACGGGGGCTACTTGCTTTGGTATGAACAGAAATGTATTTCAAGAGTGGAGTAGTAGTATACAAATAGATATCTCGAGGTGTTTTCATATATAGGATTGCAGAGTAGTCGTGGAGGACAGGGAAGCGGAGGGGCTAAGTGGAGAAGTGTACAGCTGATTCGAACCCTATTTCCACGGGAAACCATCTACAAAGTAGGCGATCAATATACATTCGGAGATCGGAGAGATATATCTTTAAACCCAACCGAGGAAGACGACAAATAATATCCTGAGGCCATCATGCATATTGCATGCATATCCACTTATGAGGGGCGTCCATCGTCGATGATATTCCAATCGAATAAGGAGGTCACTTCATGGTCTGGGGAAGAATAATACGAGGATAAGGAAGCAGTCGCATATAATGGTCTCTCAGTTATACGTGGGCCTGTTTTTTAAGTTCATCGCTGATACTGTACTTGTAAGTGTAGTAGTTCTTGGAAGACTTGAAAATTTACAATGGCAAGTTCTGTTGTCAGCATAGACTATTAACGAGACGTGTAATTTCATTCTGCACAAGAGTCTAACTGCAGTAATAATTTCTTAAGACTACAGGAATTTTCTTCGATGATAACTAGGACTAAATATGGTAATGACTGGTAGCTAAACTACAACAATAGAGAAGCACTTGTCATAATTTCGATTCCGCATAAAACGCCGTTTGGATAGGTAGGTACCTAGGTAGAGATATACAAGCATCACCTATTAGTCAATAGACGAGAGAAAACTAGTTAACAGAATGGTCCACAAGCTTACCCTTTATTATGATGACAAATCTGATTGCTACAAGCAGCATTACCTTACTACATTAATAACTAGACAGGTGAAAATTGTATTAACAGTTGGAAGGATATTCTGCAGTTTGCGTCCCATAGCTTAGTTGGTAAAGCATCGTATCAATAATGCGAAGGCCGAGAGTTCGAGCCTCTCTGGGATTATCATGGTGTCTTTTCTCAACCCCTGTTGAAGAACTTGGACCTAGAACGGCGGCTAGTTGACACATTATGGGTTGTCTAGATAAAGCCATGGTTTTTATTTACAGAAGATCATGTTTTAAATATCCAACATGCTATCCATGAAAGCCAAGGTATCTCTCATCCTAATATCCCCATTTCCGGAGTTTACCCAGTGTCGGGAACCATTACACCCACTACATTAAAGGCTTTGGTGTAGTGGATGTAATATATTATATTAAAGCCTTTCGTTAAGTGTATTAAGTAGGCCTTTAATGAAGTGGGTGTAATAGTAGGTGTATTAATATATTAATATAAATAAAAATATTAATATTTAAATAAAAAAATAAATAAAATTAAAAGTATTATTAATTTTATTATTATTATTATTTATTATATTATAATATAAATAATATTATTTAATATTATTATTTTAAATAATTATAATTATAATTATAATTACGCGGTTATTATTATTAATATTATTAATATTAAAAAAATTAAAAAAATTTAATAAATTTTATATTAAATTATAATAATTAATTTAATTAATTAATTAATTTAATTTAAAAATAAAATTAATAAAATTAATAAAATTAATAAAATTAATAAAATTAATAAAATTAATAAAATTAATAAAATTAATAAAATTAATAAAATTAATAA